AGACAGTAAGCCAGTGAAGAGAGGCTAAAATTGGAGTGATATGATCACTTTTTTGCACCAGTTAAGAGTCTGGCTGCTGCATTCTGGACCATCTGCAAACGTGCCAGTGAAGATTGGGGAAGACCAAGGTATGAATAATTACGATAGTCCAACCGTGATGTGATAAATGCATGAATTACTTTTTCCAAGCCTTGAAAGGAAAGTGTCGATTTAAGTCTAGAAATGATTCTCAATTGATAGTAGCTGTTTTTAAAAAATGAGCTGATTTGTTTTTCAACAGTCAAAGGTAACACCTACATTTTTTCCCATGTGACTTAACATATGGAGTAAGATTGTCAAAATAAGTGGCTATAGAGTTTCTGATTTTGGAGGAACCAAAGATAATCACCTCAGTTTTTTCATTGTTTAGCTGGAGGAAATTGTTTGCCACCCAGCATTTAATCTCCTTAAGACAGTTCATGAGAGGCTGCAGAGAATGTCTAGATTTTAATGGAACATACATCTGAGAATCACCAGCATAGAAATTAAAAGAAATGTCATCATGTTCATGAACATATCCATTCAGTTTACTTTGTCATCTGCTTTTAATTGGCAATAACTGTCCAATGCCACCTCTCATGATTTCTCAGCACACTGAATGCTCTGTATATTTACATTATACATCCCATTTAACCAAATGAAGGAGGAATGTGTTTTAGGCATAATTTGCAGCTAAATACATTAGACATCTGTTTGAGTATATGACTGACTGGGACAATAATGAGCAAATGGATAAGGTTTATTTTTTCATTAAGTGTGTATTATTTATCTGTTTGTATTTAGGCAGTCTGTGATGTCAGGCAGGTTCAGGCTTGGCTGACTGAATATTCTCCACAGTTCTACCAGCCTATTTCCAGTTAGCCATCATAGAATGTAATCATAGCTCCCATAACAATATACCTCCGCATAAAAAAGACTTATTGGGAGCATTTCTCTGTTTGCATGACGCTAAGTGCAATAAATTCTAGAGGATGGTCTCCCTGGGTTGTGTATCAAAGCACTGCAGTGGTTGTTTTCCCTGTGGTAATGCAATTGACCTTTAGTGAATTAGCCTTTTCTCTGCCAGCGAGCCATCTCTCTTTGTCTGGCTTGTACTTGGCTGCGGGAATCAGACAGGGAGAGAAATGGACTCCTATCTTATGCGCAAGTGCTTTTGCTGGGCAATTCATTTGTTCAATTCCAAAATCAGTTTACCAGATGGTGTTTACGCAATTTAAGCACTGACAAAAGCTTTTTTTCTCCTCCCTCTCCCCTCCCTTAGTTTTTTTTTGTTACTTGCTAAAATGAATCAAGACTCTTTCATCAATTACAAAAAAAGAAAAATCTTATTCACCTGCATTTTATTAGCAAGGCCAAACATGTAATTAATGAGGAAACCATTGTTTTAGCTGTGCCTTTTGCAGTGTCCATTTATGCAGAACATTGCATTTGCTTTATAATTTGCATTTGGTACGTATGAATACTATACTTGTAATCAAATATTTTCATTAGTAGTGTTTGCTGAGGCAATTATCACTAAAACTATTGCTCACAACAGTGCATGAAATTTAGGGGTTAGGGGTTAAAATAAAATGGGACAAAAAATGCCATAGTCTTACACTGAAGATTGGGCTGAGACAAATCTATGGATCGGAATATCAGATCATTTATAAGTAGCACTAAATAGTGTAACACCGACAATGTAAAATGAAGTGTTTCCAAATACTCTTTACATTCACATAAAATTGCTGTCAATTTCTGTGCTCAACCTAAAATAATAAAGGCGGAAGAGACAGATTATAAAAGAAAAAGTGAGCAAGAGAGCTCTAAAATAGAGGATCCCATTCGTACAGAGCCTCTTACCACAGCTCAGAATTACAGATCTTGGGAAGTAAAAAAAAAAAAAAGGGCTTGGCTACAAAAACAAACACAATAGTCTGGGTAAAATGGGGACATGAGAGGACTAAACAACACCTTTAGAGTCTTCATTCAGTCTTCTCTTTTCACTGCAGCTCAAAGTCACAGATAGATAAATGGACAGAAAGAGATGGAGCAAATGATGGAAAGGGAGAAACGAGAGAGATGGAGGACAGATTGTGTTGTCAGCCAGAGAGAAAGAGGCAGAGGTAGAAATGCCTCATCTTTAATCAAATTTGCAAAAGCTTTGTGGGAAAAAAAGAGCTCTCAGAAATATCGATAAACATCCATTTCTGAGCTGTGTTTAGCAGAGAAAAAAGGCAATACAAATAGAAATTAATGACATCTGTCCTCATTGCATATGGTGGCAAGCAAGGCCCCTCCATTTAGCCATTTATTTTTCAGTGTAAATGGCAATTTAGTAATCTCTAAATGTCACCTCCTGAAGCTGTGGAGCACTTTAGCCTTGCGTTAGGGCTTTAATAGATTTTTTAAAAGTGCAGTATAGCCCATTCCATTTTTCTTATAGCCAGTTTATCAAAAATGTATTAAATTTCTAAGTGGTCTCCACCTCTGCGGACTGATAAATTCATGTGGTGTTCCTGAACTATACACATCCAGCCAAAGGATAAATTAAATCAGCAGAAGAAGGGAGCAGTGTGGCTGCTTAGGACCCACTCTTCCTATTGAAGTACATGGACATAATAGGATGCGCTTTAAGGGGAAAGTGATAAAAACGTGGCCTGATATAGCAGAGCTATAGGTCTGCGTGGCCCGGCATGTGGAAAGCATATCCAGAGCTGAGGCTTTGCTAGAATCATTTCACACAAACAACGCAATATGTCTGTAATTGAATAATATTTTCCCTGTGAGGGCCGTTTATCTACAGCGATGCCTGCGGGTTGGACCTCTGGAGGATTTCAATGTGTGCAGCAGGCAGCAGTGTTAACGAGATTCATTCACCTCGTTAATGAAGAAAGAGGGTGTGTCTCATTAGTATGCATCATCGCTTCTTTCATTAAACACAATCATGTAGCCTAATCACGGCCGATTCATTTCTCAGCTCTTTATAGATTCTCTCAAATCATCTGCACAAGTCAGTCCAAGATTTTGATTGCTCGCGTAACTGACGGCCGCTCCCACTCGGTTTCGCAAGTACACAACAAAACGCAGAGCCGCATCTCTAGCAATCTGAACGGTTTTCACTGTAATATAAAGAATTGCCTTGAGGAAGGAGAAAAACAGAGAGAAACGATCTCAATCGGTTGCTTCAAAATCACAATCATTACAGGCAGCAAATTACATCAGGGTCTCTTTTAGAGATTGAAACCAGCAGCAACATTGATTTAGCTTTCCATCATCTGGGGCCGTATTAGCTTTTGTGTGCTTTTTATGTTGAGTAGAGTGGATTAGAGTAGCTAATGAGCTTGTGGTGGTCAGTATCACAGGGGCATTTGTATAATTCGGCCACAGAGCCAGTTCTACAATCAGAGTTTACTCAAATATAATATAAGCAAGGTTCAAACTAACCCGATGCAAAAAGAGCTGAAGTTAATCGTAGCGACTATGCCGTGGCCATATGCCCAGTTTTGTCCCGCAGTCATGCATCTGTCTTTTTTTAATCAACGCAGAAGCAATGTAGATGTTGGTAAATGCAGCACGAGTCCTACAGGTAAATGTATCATGGTTTCCACAAAAATATTATGCAGCACAACTGTTTGCAACATTGATAATAATAAGAAATGTTTCTTGAGCACCAAATAAACATGTTAGAATGATTTCTGAAGGATCTAGAGAAATGGCTGCTTAAAATTCAACTTTGCCATAGCAGGCACAAATTACATTTTAAAATATATTAATATACCAAATAAATGCATCCTCGGTGAGAATAAGAAACTTCTTTCCAAAATATTTACCAACCCAAACTTTTGAGTGGTAGTATATGTTAACATACTAATAATGTTGCAAATACTATAAACATTAAAGCAATTAACATTTCAAGATTAACATTAACATGATGTATCAATAGAGCGAACTAAAGCAAAACTGACTTCTATTGCTTATTTGCCATATATGTGCAAACATACACAACTGGACTTTTTTAATGTAAATAACCCTGAAAATGAGTGTGGCGCTGCTCTTTTTTACAAAGTGAGCTCACACAGTAAAGCAATGCATACTGCTCCGCAATTGTGCCCTTCTTTAAACATTTGGAACATTTTCCAGCTATTTACATACATTTCATACTCAAAATATTCCTATGGTTTAAAATAAACTCTCTAAAGCCTAGTATTTTGGGTGCACCTACAACCTATCCAATTGACCGCACCCTGCATTAGATCAGAAATTTGTGATTATTAGAGAATGAGGGACTACACGTACCATTTTTTTACATCATAGCATTCAGGAGACATTCAACTAGCGTAGCATAGCGCCAAGGTTCCCCACGGAACACACATACTGATAAAAGACACCTTGAAAGCACTTTAAGTCACTTTGGATAAACAAATATACAAACGTGATAATACACTATTGGATACCAGATTGTATTCTAAAATGAATAGCATGGACAGGGACTTAATATAATGAAACAAACAAAACATGATTTTTGTGCCATTATACCTGTGCAGTCGGATGTGGTTGGCTCGGTAAATGAGAAATCCAAACATGTACACGCTTGATCCCGGTTTCTCTTGGCCACAAAGACTCTGCCGTCATTGTCAGCCCACAGGAAACATAAAGGGGGTTCTGTAATCCCTGCACCAGACAGGCCTGGATACAGCGCCAGATCCTGATAAGATTAGGCCGCTAAAGGAGCGAACCGGGCTACAATTTGAGAGAATTTGTGAAGGGAGCCAGCTCTGACATGTGGCATCGACAGTGCTGCGAGCTCGGCCCAGCCCTGGCCCGGTCTCATATGGGACACGGTCCTCTCATAATCAGCGAGAGAATCTTATCAGGCCTGGCTAGCTGCTGGCGGTCTATCCATCTCTCTCTTTCTCTCTCATCCACACGCACACACAAACACAGTCAGGTTGAGCAGGTGGATGGAGGTCATACCATACCTTGTAAGATGTCTGGAGGGGAGGTTGTGGCGGAGATGGTGGTGGTGGTGGTTGTGGGTTTAGGGGTTGTGGTAAGGGCATCTAGATGGAAAAACAACGGGGAAAAATCAGGAAAAACGAAACCAAACATGATCAAATCAACAACAATGAGAGACAGATTCGTGTTGTGTAATATGTGTAGCTTTACTCAACAGATGGTAAATTAGTATATAAACTGTAGGTGAATTATCAAGCATAACTACTGTACAAAATAAAAGAAGTCATTACACATGGTAACTGTGTGAAAAGTACTGCGAGGACATATTTTTGTGTGTGTAAACATTTACTGCTAATTTAGTGTTTGGGAAATAGAATAAAATAGCATTTAACAACAATTAAAAGAAACCCAATTGAAATGAAATGATGAGATATGGGAATGATTAGAAATGAAGGAAAACATAAAATGCAGATGGTTATGCATTTAAAATGTCCATGCTAACAAATGACCATAGCGATGACACACAGAAGGGGTCCTGGCATACATTCTCCTGTTTGTTTGTTTTTTGCATTTTCACACTTCATTAGCCGCTTCCCTCCCTACTATCTACTAATGTTGCTTCTGATTTAGCAATTTATGGTGTGGAGTGCTGGACGCAATGTTGATAGCACGACAGTGACAGTGGCGGCGGTCGTGACCGGCTTAGCGTGTTTGATGTCGCTGAGTTAACACAGCAGGAGTGTTAGCCAGTCCGGTGCGTGGGGTGATCAGGATTTTTCATGGAGAGACAAACAGGCAAACATTAATGAAATGAGGAATGGGAGGGAAAGGAGGGCGCGCAGGCATGGGAGCGGAGAGGGGGGCGAGCGATGTTTCTCGGGGAGATAACAGGCGTGAAAAGTGACGAGGCCCGCGCCACTGTTTGCCCAGCGCGTCCAGACAGATACCACTGTGTTAACATCTGTGGTGGGGGAAATTGGTCGGCTGTCTCCCCTCCCCACGTTGTTGTCTGCGCTCCATCAAAAGAGCTTGGTGGGAGCCCAGAAATGCTTTCACTCTCTAATGATAAACATCCAGCAGGATGAAGCGCAGGCAGAGAGGAACTCTGTCTCCATCTCCTCTGCCGATACACGGGATCACTCAGAAAATGGCAGCTACGTATTGCATGTCATGCGCTACAGGGCTTTTAACACCACACTAAACACTTGTTAAGGACACTTTCAGCCACATACATGTACAGTTATAATACAGTCTCCATCTGTCTGTCCAAATATACACAACACAATATGCATTGTAATATTTTAATGTTTTAAAGCATGTTGCACATTGGATTAACATGTTCACATGACATTTTAAAAAGACAAAATATTGTTTTTAGTCAGACCGAAATCGAATTAATTGGAAGTGTATGGAAACATATTTAGTGTGAAATGGAATAATAACTCAGGATTATGTCTACTCTGGGCTAAAGAAAAATAAATATGATTGTTTCATTTTATGAGATTTTTTTTTTTTTACAACATTTTTTTTTAGATAGCGGTTTAGACATTAATGGCTGTGTGTTGAGTTATTTTGAGGGGACAGCAAAAAGTTATACAAGCTGTACACTCACTACTTTACATTGCAGCAAAGCGTTGTCTTCTTCAGTGTTGTCACATGAAAAGATATAATAAAATATTTACAAAAATGTGAGGGGTGTACTCCTGTGAGATACTTTATCTATACATGACATATGCTCACAGATGTCATTGGTAGCTGTCATAATTTTAACATGGCTATGACACTTTTTGATAACTGTCACTTTAGTGATGAAAAAATGAAGTGTCTAGTTGAAGACTAGTTTTTGATTTATCAGCTAATCAATGTATTTTTGTAAAAAAAAGGTTTAATGCATTTTAAATAATTATAATGCTGGTCCCACTCAGACTTTAAACACATTGTTTTTGACGGTTAAAAGAATTAGTAACATATAAAAAGAAAAAAAAAGTACTTTGACATGATTATGCTATTTTTACCCTTACCACTGTAACATTTTTAATAGTACTATTATAACTGGGACAAACACTACCATTCAAAAGCTTGGGATCGGTAAGATTATTAAAAAATAAGTCTCTTATGCTCACCAAGGCTAAATTTGTTTGATCAAAAATACAGTAAAAACAGTAATATTGTGAAATAATATTACAATTTTAAATGAACAGTTTTCCAATTTACTATATTTTAAAACGTAATTCATACCTGCGATGAAAAAATCTGAATTTTCAGCAGCCATTACACCAGTCTTCAGTGTCACATGACCCTTCAGAAATCATTCTAATATGCTGATTTGGTGCTCAAGAAACATTTCTTATTATTATCAATGCTGAAGACAGTAGATTCCATTATACATTTTTTTTTAGGATTCTTTGTCATTCTTGATCAATTTAAATGAATCCTTGCTAAATAAAAGTGTTAATTTCTTTTTTTTTTTTTTATCCAATAATCCAAAACTACAGTATGCACTTCTGTGCTCAGTCCATCTCTTTAAGATATAGGAGCGAATATGACTGCTTTACTGCACTTTCTGTCGGAAAAGGTACTTTCAAAGATTTGTATGTTTCGCATGCCAATAAAAAAACGTAATGGATCACAGGTTGTCAGCTGTAAGTTGTTACCTGTCTCGAACTACACTGATTCACAAGGCAATCGCAGCTATGTGAAAATTTCTCTCCCAGACACCTTTTAGAAGTGCACAGCCATGTTGATTTCTCTTGCTGGAGATGAAGCATGGCAGCAAACGGACTGAGTGAACCTGCTAAACTGCGTAGGATTTACTGTAAACACAATCATGCATCTCTCTGAAAGTACAGGGGCTAAAATGTTTAATATTTTGACACGCTTGGTCATCCTTAATATCCTATGACAAAAAGGGAAAAGGAAACAGCTGACCAAGGAATCTCAGAAAGCAGTCGAGCATGGCAAATACAGGCTAACGAAGAGCTATAGAGCTAACTTTACAAGCAGCAGCACATTTGATCAATAGTCACTATAGAATACATTTGCATTAAATAATGCATGCTGAGCCTGAAAAGCTTAATGCTGTATGAACTAGCAGATACATAAATGTTTTAATAAAGAAAGACAGAGAAACTGAAACGCCACTTAACGAATGTTCGGTTAAACTCGGCCGACTCGGTGGAGGGGCAACTTTACTGGCGCCACTCTGTTATGAACTGTGAATGCCCAACAGATGTTTGAGATCACCAGTGTCAATAGCTCATTAAAAACTTGGCAGGCCAATTGGATCTATAACTCACCGCATTTAGAAACAGCCCATTTTTGTAAATTTTTTTAGAGCAATCTTTTTAAAAGGCAAACCTATGCCTCAGAGTATCAGGGCTTATTGACTTTCACAGCGCATACCTGCTATGTCATCCCAGCGTGTGTTTATCACGGCACATTATGAATCATAGCAATGGGCCGGGGTGTGTGTGTGTGTGTGTGTGTGTGTGTGTGTGTGTGTAGCAGGCTCATTAAACCCGGACCACTGCAAAATACTGCCGGTTACACCGATTCCCCAGACACGCACAGGGTAATGCTAAGATGAGAACTCATATTTTACTTTCTCCCTTGCTGAGCCACTTGCTAAAACAGCACATCTCCCAAATGAGATGCGGACCAACGCATGAGTGGCTCGCAGAGGCACGGAAGGGAATCAGGAGAGCGAGGTACGTACGAGGAGCTGACTAGATGAGTACTTTAATCGACATGGCATTTCCTGGCATGTCCTGGGACTCCTAACGGATAACAGTCATTCAGGAACAACACAGAGAGGGAAAAAAACACACACGTGAGTAATAGTGTGATTAGCAATGGGTGCTCAGGGCTGTTGATTTGCCCATCAGCAACCTTCTGTCATCAGGCAGCTTTGCGTTTTTTTTCAAGGAGATTTTCGCTTGCTGTAGCAAAACTAGCAAGAGCAGTTGAGGGAGCTTAACCCAAATATTGCAATGTGTATGATTTTTCGGGGCTATATGGCAGTTTTAGGCTTTGCCTAAGGCTTTGTCCCTTCGGAACGCAAGTATAAACACACACACACACACACACAACAAATGAAACAGTGGTAGTGGTCACGACACAACGTGTACCACTGGATTTCCTCTAGGTGGTACGTGTAGCAAAAATGACCAAAAACCAAAAAAGTAAATAAATAAATAAATGATAAAATGGAAAAATTAGCCCAATATTGTGAATTACGGGGTGCCAAATTCAAGTCAGTTGTTATTCTGTGAGGGAAAACAAAAACCAAAAAAAGCAACAAAAATAAGGTTATACTATTAAAAGAGATGCTATTCTAAATGCATAAGCAAATAAAAGAAAATCAGAAGGAACATTGTTGTGACTAGGTGTTAGTTTGATTTTCTGATTTGAAGAGATGTGGTACTCCTTAAACACGCCCCCACATGTCTATGTCACTGTGTGGGAAGATTTGCATAATGCCGCCCAAATGTTCATGCAAAGAAAGAAGGCTGTAACTTTTATTCTCGCTGTTGCTGCCTCTGCCATGTTGTGGAGTCGATGTGTGTTTCGTTGTGAAAGCGAAACTACTTTGTTTGGCCTTCCAAAAGTGGACACAACTAGAAATCAGTGGTTAAGTTGTATTTACAACACTGTTCCAGAACACTTCAACCCAAATACTAGCTGGCCAATCAGAGCACACCTCGCTTTTTTATAACGATGAGCTTTGTAAAAATCGACGGGTTTCAGAAAGGCGGGGCATAGAGGAGAAACAATAATGTACATTATATGGAAAATAATGTGTTTTTTAAACCTTAAACCGCATAAACACATTGCATTACACCAAATACACAATGTAATGTTCTTTTTAGCAACATCATATGACCCCTTTAAAAGTTTAAAAACCACTGGATTAGAAAATAACCTGTTAGGATCTGCATGATATTTCCAGAGGTGGAAGCCATATGCAGAAGCATATGCATGGCAATTCCCTCCAACTGTTTAATAAGGACATCATATCAATAAATGGCAGAAGTGGCACATTTGCCTTGCTATAGTGTAAATTCAGGAGTGCATTCCTCCTCCATAGATTGCACATTCCTCCTCT